CAGTAAGTAGTTGAAGGATGGATGGATAAGTGGATGGTTGAATGAGTCAGACTTGGCCTAGTCTCTAAATGGAGGTTATAAGTAGGTAAGTAGGTATAGGTATGAGGCATTTTGATTTTTTTTTTTTAAATGTTTGTTGTGAGATGGATGATATGATATGATGTCAAGAAGATGGTGTACTGAAAGAATTGGAAGCAACCTTAGAATATCCCACCTACTCTACCCAAGTGGCCTTCCCCATCCCTTCCTCTGTCATTTGATTGGCGGGAAAATTGAGCCACAGAGAGGAGCAATGAGCTGCTCTATTGCACAGCACTGGCAGATCCTGTTTTGTTTTGTTTTTTCTTTGTTTTGTTTTGTTTTTAGCTTTTTGGCTCTGCCATGCAACGTGTGGTTTCTTAGTTCCCGACAAGGGATTGAACCTGAGCCCCCTGCATTGGAAGTGTGGAGTCTTTACCACTGGACTGCTAGAAAAGTCCCAGCACTAGTAGATCCTTGAGTAGAAGCAGGTCTCGACAGAAGCCTGACAGTTAGGACAGTATATTTTACCCCAAGGTGATACATTCCTGTGTGCAGATTTGCAAGTCTAGAGTAGGAAGTAGAATGTGAGTGAGGCTAAAATAATGGGAACATGAAATTGTCTTGTACTGTGGGGCTGGAACAGAGAATACACCGAATGCTTTTTCTCTTTCCAAAGCCTTATATAATCTGACACAAGGAAAGTGCTCATTTCCTTTTTACAGAACTGATTGGGTAAATGTCCATAGGCCAGACTTCCTGTGTGTTCGGATGCAGGATTTCCAGCATGTTCCTGACTTGCTTGCTAACAGTTCAGTCACCCAGAAGGTCAAGGGAGTGACTCAGAACTTTGTTATTCTGTACCTGATTCTAACCAACAAAGACAAATTGGGTATGGAATTAAAGATGTCAGGAACTTGGGAGAAAACAGATATGTCAGCGTCATGTTTGTGAAAGCCGAGGAGAGTTAAACATAATCAGACAAGTGCTTTAGCTGATAGAAAACAGTTTAATAGATTCAGGTGGAGGACATAGTGTTAGGAAATGGCTCACTTTCATGCATGCAGCTTTGGCAGTGAAGATGATTCTAAGGAGAATTAGAAAGTTCTGCAAATGATCCAGTGAAGAAGAAGGCAGTAGAATAAACCATTGTGGCTACCCAATATTCCCTTTACTGTGACACATTTTTAAATGAGTTGAGTTCAGTTACTCTGTCATGTCCAACTCTTTGTGACCCCATGGACTGCAGCACACCAGGCTTCCCTATCCATCACCAACTCCCAGAGTTTACTCAAACTCATGTCCATCGAGTCCTACAAAAGACACATTGGCCTTCACCTTTGCGGGGAGGAAGTGACCCAGAAGGAACATGAAGGGTTTTTCTAAAGTGCTGGTAATTTTGGGTGTTTTGATCTGGGTGATGGTCGTAAAGTGTTTGTTTACTTTGTGAAACATTTGGCAAACTGCATTTAAAATTGTTTGTCTGCATGTATCAATATGTTATACTTCACTGTGCAACCATTTTTAAGATTTAGTATATTTCCTTTAGGACTTATTTTTTAAATGGTTAGATTGGCATGTTGAACAAAAACTGTGCTTTATTCATTTATTATTTTCTTATGTGTATTACTTCATGTTATTCCATGGGTCTCAATCATTTTCATTATCAGCCTTATAAAACTCCACTGTGTAGGGAGACCTCCACTTTCTTTACCATGACTATAGAGTTAGGCAGGTATGTTCCTCTTCATTTTCACTTTTATAAAGAATACTTGAAGCAATTACTTTGAATATAAAGTTTCTTCTTCATTTAAGGTCACTTCATGAGAATAGATTCTTAGATGTAAAGAGATTAGATTGACTCTCTTTAAAGTCTAGACACATATTTACAAATTACCTCCATCAGTGAAGACCTCACCATATTGCCCATTGCTATATTTAACAGTCTTGCACAGAATTGGCAAGTTTCCTGATAGAGTACTTGCAAAATCTTTTTTTTTTCTTTGTATTAGTATAAAGTTGGAGTGCTTTCTTATCTCTTGGCACTTCCCATCCAACACAATTTCTCAGTTCTCTGGATGTCGTGCTTTCTTCTTTAGCCATCTCAGTGTCCAGTTCATTAACCTTTGTTTAAACCAGAGGACAGAACATGGAAGCCAACAGGAGTTGAAGAACTTTGTCCTATCTCCAAACATGAAAACAAACAAACAAAAAATTAGTTTGCTCACTTTTATCATCATTTTTAAGTTTTAACTCATTTGTGTCTTGAGCTTTTTTGGCATCTCATTTTAAAATTTTATTATTGGAGTATAACTGCTTTGCAAAGTTGTACTAGTTTCTGGTGTACAACAGAGTGAATCAGCTATATGTATATGTACATCGCCTCCCTCCTAATCCCACCCATTTAGGTCATTACAGAACATTGAGCTAAGCTCGCTGTGCTATATGGCAGCTTCCTGCTAGCTATCTGTTTCCCACATAGTATGTACATATGTCTGTGCTCCTCTCCCAGTTCATCCCATCTCATTTAGAGAGTTCTACTTTTTTCTCTCTTCCTTCTTTCTGTCTCCTGGATATGTTCTTTAAAAAAAATTTTTTTTTCTTGAAATATAAGCACACTTCAAATGAATATTTCATGTATTTGGATCATAATATGTCATGTTCTTTTAACATTTCTGCATTTTCCATTTTTTTAAATAAAACATTTATTTATTTTAAAAAGGAAAACTTTCAGCACAGAAAAAAAAAAAAGAAAAGGAAACACTTGTTCCAAAGAACAAGTCATGTCAACCCAACCTTCTTTCTTTAAGATAGTTCTTGAAGTGATTGGGGAAATGCAGTAGACAGAGCATCAGTATCTGAAGTGATTTTGACCCTGTCCTCAAGCTATGTTTTTGGAAAAATACAGCAGTACAGTCTGAGTTCTTAAGCAACTGAGGCAGCAAGTAACTGTTGCATAACCAACCAGAGATTCTGATGAACAGATGGATGCCAGCCTGGAAGAGGGATTCTAGTGCATGCCACTGAGTCTGTTATTGGCATTTTCTAGGTTACTACTTATATTATTGATCTGGATAAAGTTGAAAAATCATGTCCCCAAACTTGCAGATAGTGAAGATAATATGGTAATAGGCTCTAGTCATCGAATCAAAGATGATAGACTTCGACAGTTCCAAGTTGACTCTGTACTTGAGTTTCATAATAGGACCACATATATATGTAGAAGCAGGCAAATTTTTTTCTTTTTTTGGTGAGAAAGAGTTGCTGATACATTCATTGTGATCAATGAAAATGTGAAATGTTGGCTATGTTATTAGAAGCCCAGTTTAAGTAAGAAAAAAATTGAAAATAGTGATAATCTAGGTAATCATATATTGACAAGACTACACACAGATTATTGCTTCGTGTTCTGGTCCCTTCTCCTTAAGAGGGACAAACTGGAGGATGTCCTGAGATGAGCATTAATTTGGTTCAGAGGACTTGAACTTTTATCATATGAGGAATTGTTGAAAAAGAATGCTAATGAACTTGAGAACTGTCTTCAGTATCCAGACATCTTTTCTACACAAGCAAAGGAAGACTTTCTGTGGGCTACGGAACAGAATCAAGACCACTAGGGAATCATACTTGGGTTTGATAGGAGGGACAGTTCCTAGCATTCAGAGGTGTGCATGGATGAAGTAGACTCTGCTGTAGACATTATCATTGTTTCTCTTTTTGGTTCCTGGAGCACTCCAATTCCTGTGTCACTGAAGTCAGGCGTGGCCCTTTGACTTGCTCTAGCTGATGGAACCTGTGTCAAAGTAAAAGCGCTACTTCTAATGTCAAGCCTTTAGTTGCCAGTTCTTACTAAACTCATCATCATCCCTTTCTCCAACCTCAGTGAACACTGAAGCATTATATTAAAATGGAGGTAGCAGCCTTGGTCTTTCAGTGGCTACAGTTATGACAGTATCCTCCAGCCTCCACCATCAACTCCCCCTCAGACCCACCACACTCCTATATTGGACATGTTGTTTGAGTGGAAAATAAACTTTTGCTGTTTGCAGCCCATGGATTTCATGGGTTTTATTACTTCTGCATATTCCTGACTAACGCTTCCCTGTTGGCTCAGATGGCAAAGAATCCACCTGCAATGCAGGAGACACAGGAGATGCTAGTTCAATCCCTGGGTTAGGAAGATCCCCTGGAGAAAGGAAAGGCAATACACTCCAATATTCTTGTCTGAAGAATTCCATGGACAGAGGAGCCTGGCAGGCTACAGTCCATGGGGTCGCAAAGAGTGGGACATGACTGAGCAACTAAACTAAACTAATCCTGACTAATACAGTACCTTCAAGATGCAGTGGTTCTTTACATGTGGGCATTAGCAAGACAAGCATTGGATTCTGCAGATCAAAACTACAGTGAGGTGTCACCTCACACTGGTCAGAATCGCCATCACCAAAAAGTCTACAAATAATAAATGCTAAAGAGAATATGCAGAAAAGGGATCCCTTTTGCCCTGTTTGTGGGAACGTAAATTGATACAGCCACTATGAGGACAGTATGGAGGTTCCTTAAAAAGCTAAAAATAGAACCATATGACCCAGCAATCCCATTAAGCTTCTCAAAGATGCCCTTGATACCACCTACTAACCCATGTAACTGAATGAAGCACGCACGTGCCACAGTGTACTCACTTATTGTTATGGTTATTGTTCTGTGCTGGGCAGTAATTATGAAGTAGTTCTGTCTGGTGAAGAAGCTGATAAGGTGATGAGAGCCAGGAAGTGGAAGTAACACCAGTGTGAAAATAAATGAAGAAATAGAATTAAAGGTGATTCCCCTGGGGGAAAAACATGGAAGGGACAAATATTAAATTATAATTAAAAATACAAATGCAAGCCTAGATATGCAAATACGTATACATATATTTTTGTACATGTTAAAAAACCAAACCCACAACAAATTAACTGGAATCTTACCTTTGTTATTCACAGGAGACCAAAATCAATTGCGTCCGCCTGGCTACAAAAGGTATGTTGGCATGCTCTGTCTGTCTTCAGCTATTGAAGTACTTCTCTCTGCAGCAACACAGGAAAATTTTAGGCAACAGTGACTAAAAATAACAAGAAAGAATTGTTATTTTCACTGGAGTCATTTGCATCTAGGTATTATTATATACTTATGGTATATATTAATAACACAGTGCCTGAAGCATAGGAAGAGCTCAAAACATATTTGTTTAGTCAATGGATGGATGGATGGATGTACAGACTGGTACATTAATCAGTGGTAAATATAAATTTACTCAAATATTCTTCACTATATATTTTCATTGTATTTGGGTCTGTGTTTATGTGGGTATTTTTTTGCATGTCAGTTAGACCAATCTTCTGGTTTTGTATTTTATTCAGTTGCCACATAGCTTTCAAAAATGAGGTGATTAGTGTTTAGTGCCTTCTATAATGGGAAAACAAACACTGCATTGTTGTGTAGTTGGCATTTTTAATACCTACCCCCAAAACGAAGGCAGCATTGTTCAGGCTCATCACTTTTTGTTTCCCTAATTATTATTGAATTGCCTGGCTCTTTCAATTGGTACATGTTTCTGTTTATTACTCTTAAGAAAAAAAATCAATGAATGGTTTGTTATCATTTAACCTATTACAAGGTTGAATGGTTAGAAATCAGGTTTATCTTTTGTGTTATAGAACTGATATTTTTAACAACTATCCTCCCTGTATAAGCACACCAAAACTGAGCAATTCATTCTATTCCCTGCATTTATTGACAGCACATATGGTTTCATAGGTTACTTCCAAGCAGTGAAAAGATATAAGTCAATATGTAATAATAGGCATAAACTATAGACAAAGACAGTGGCTCAAGTGTGTATATACATATGTGAATACATACACGCAAGCACACATAGCAGAAAACACGGGGGGAGAGAGGGAGGAATATTTAATGATTATTTGACAGAATATGCACCAAGACCTATCACCCGTTAGTTTTATAACTTTGAAGAAAGTCACATCAGTTTGTAGACAGCAAAGGGAAGATGCAGGAGGAAGAAGACAAGCAATCAGGGGTCGCTGTGATAAGAACTCACTCTGCTCTCAAAGAAGTCAGGAGAGGTCGGCATGTCCCTAATGTGTTGTCTCTCGGGAGCTCAGGCTTCTGGACAGAAGGAGATAAAATACTGCTTGTGAGGCAAGGAGAATTGATGGCCTGCAAACAAAAGGGGCATGAATTATGGGCCTCCGCAGTTTTCCTCGGAAGAAAACAGATCATCTAGAAAGAAGACCCTTATCCATGGGCTAGCACTATAGCTCTGGTCTCGGGCCGGACAGCTCGGGATCTGCAGCAACCCCCAGGAGCGGGCAGGAAACTTACAGAGAAACCTTCCCTGTGATAGTAAGCTCCATGGCTCCCTGCGAGCTTCTGACCCCTGGACACGGGAGAGGCTGATGCAGTGCTGTCCCCTGCGGGGGGCGTGGGGTTCTAAGGACACCCCCTGGGACATAAAGCTGTCCTAAAAGGGACTTTGTTGAATTGTATGATGTGAACTGGGAATTGAGAACATGTGATCAGACAGGCAAAGGGTATCTGTGGGGACTTTGAGTGAGAACATTATTTAGTTATTTATTTTTGGCTGTGCTGGGTCTTCACTGCTACACGAGCTTTTCTCTAGTTGTAGTGAGCAGGGTCTTCTCTCTAGTTGCAGCACATGGTCCTCTCATTACGGTGGCTTCTCTTGTTGCAGAGCATGAGCTGGGTCTGAGCATGGTCTCAATAGCTTCAGTTCCCCGGCTCCAGAGCACAGGCTCCATAGTTGTGATGCACGTATTTAATTGCTCCACAGCATGCAGGATCTTTCTGGATCAGGGATTGAACGCATGTCTCCTCCATTGGCAGGTGGATTCTTTACCACTGAGCCACCAGGGAAGCCCTGAGAGAGAATAATTAAAAGTATATGTTCTCGGCAATTTCTGGACCCACTGTCCATGTAGATAGAGAGCACAGCGTGCCACGTTTCTCCAGGGGCCATTGCTGATGTGTGAGATTAATGTGAGCTTTAAAGAACTAGGACAAAAGAGCTGTCTCCTTCTTCTTAGCATAAGGATTTCTCTTCTTGTTTGATGTTTTGGATACAACCTGCCTTCAGTGGAGTGTGTCGTGTGCATGTGTCCGGTGTGGCAGGCGAAAGGATGGGAATGCATTCATGAGTATGAATACCCAGCTGGCCATGCCCAGGCAGGGCTCAGAGGACTCAGGAGTCAGATGTGGATTCCAGGCTTCCATGCCTTTGTTTTCCAGTGCAGTGAGGGCCATCACCCCAACCAGAGAATTGGACTTGAGCAGCTCTAGGCAGTAGGGTAGAGAGCTGGGTAGTGCAGAATGCCAGTCTCCCGCAGGTCAAGGAGTTATTCCTTCTCAGCATCACATCAGATAAATAAGCAGGATGCCTGATGATGCAGAGAAAAGGCAAAGGGAAGGAAAGCTATATTTGATCAGTGTCTACTCTGTCCCCTTGGAGCATCCAGGGTCAGCTGAACGAGAACCCTATTTGAATTCACACCCTGCCCATGGGGACTGTGTATCAAGGAACTAAATCCAGGCATCAGTATTTGACCCATTCCTTTCCTGATGTTGTCAATCAAATTTCCCTCTTTATGGGTTTGCCGAAAATGCTCTTCTTTTTAATAGGGGAAAGTATGATGGTGGGAACCTTGCAGGCAGTGAGGATATAGCAAGTTCCAGTGACAGATTCCATGGCCCATCTGTCTCCCTCAAAGCCCCTCCACCTCTTTGTCATTGTGGCGTTTTCCTCATGGGTCTGCCAGCGGGCAGCCAGCCTCTGGAGAGTGGTCACATGGGCAGGCTTGAGGCCAGTGCTTTGGCAATGAAACAACATGCTGATGTCCTGTCCCTGACCCCAGCGAATCCAGACAGTGTCTGTGATCAGCTCTGTGACTCCCATGGAACTGGGAGGGCTGCTACTCAGAAGGGAACAGCCTGAGCTGTTCGGGGTCATTGTGAGCTGACCAGAAGCCCAGCGCATCTTCTATCAATTTTAGACAGACTCCCTGGCACTAGCGTGCACCTCTCACCCTGGTCTGTCTGTAATGTCACTGTTCGTCACCCAAGCTCTAATGAAGCTCTGCCAGTCTGGAGGTCTGCAAAGCCGGGGACCTGTGTGGGTTTTCAGCGACTGCAGAGTTCCACAAACTAAGTGACTTAAACAAAGCATAATTTATTGTCTCACGCTTCTGAAGGCTAGAAATCCAAGATGGAGATGTCAGCAGGGTTGGCTCCTTGGAGGGTGTGAGGGAGAGGCTGTTTCATGCCCTTTCTCCAGCTTCTGGGGGTTTGCTGCCATCGGCGGCCCTCTCTGGCTTGTAGATGCCTCACCTCATCTCTGCCTTCATCTTCGCATGGTGCTCTCCCTCTGCATGTCTGTCCAAACCTTCCCTTTTGTATGGACACTGATCATATTGGATGGAGGGTCCACCTTACTCCAGTATGACTCATCCTAACTCAACTGACCACCTCTACAGGGACCCTGTTACCAAATAAGGTCACAGTCTAAGGTTAGGACATTGACATGTGAATCTGGGGGAACTGAATTCAAAGCTATAGCCAGCCCTGTGCAGTTAGGGGCAGTGTCCACACGGTTCCCAGTGAAGCCTCTCACTGCTCACAATTCACCGTCTGATCCCAATAGTCTTGAGGGGTGTGCAGGGAGTGGGAACCAGCCCTGCCAAAGCAGGCCCCAGAGGCAGGCTGAGGTCCAGATGTGGCTCCGGTTCCTGCAGAAACAAAGCAAGGCTGCCTCAAGCAGAGGCACTGCTTAATCTATGAAAGGATCCCAGGGCAGGGGGTAAATGCAGAGGGCCACCCCTACAAACCAGATGCTGGGTCTGTGGCAGCAGCACCCTTCCCAGACCCCACATGGTGGTGGAGCATCAGGTCCTGGGCAGGGCCAGGCCTCCTGGGGTAGGTGCCAGCCCTGCTGCTGTTGAGGGGAGCTCTGATGAGGAACTGCTTGGTCCTCGTCACTGATTTCCCAGTCACATTTGGCCATGGCGGGAAGTTCTTGGCACATCTTTGTCCCTCAAACAATGCCTACTGAGATGAGGGAATGCATTTGGTCAGCATCTCACTGCAGCAAGACTCAGAGATCCTGAGGGTGTTATCCCCTCTTCCTGAAACTCAGAAGCACCCTATTTATCCAAGGACTTCCCTGGCAGTCCAGTGGTTAAGACTCTGTGTTCCCAATGCAGGGGGCACAGGTTCAATCCCTGATTGGGGAAATAAGATCCTGTATGGCACACAGGGTGGTCAAAAAATTAAAAAATAAAATGAAGTGATCCCCATCTACCCATTCATTGGAAGGACTGATGCTAAAGCTGAAGCTCTAATACTTTGGCCACTGATGTGAAGTGCTGACTCATTGGAAAAGACCCTGATGCTGGGAAACATTGAGGGCAGGAGGAGAAGGGGATGACAGAGGATGAGATGGTTGGACGGCATCATTGACACAGTGGACATGAGTTTGAGTGAACTCTGGGAAATAGTGAAGGACAGGGAGGCCTGGCGTTCTGTAGTCCATTGGGTCACCAAGAGTTGGACACAACTTAGTGACTGAACAACAACATAATCTACCCATTTGCAGAAAATTTTTGAATGTACTTACTGCCTGTGGTTTGCTGATAAACCCGCTCTTTGGAAAAGTCTTTTATTTGTAGTCTTTGTCCATTTCTAGGGTGTAAATATCCCTACAAATCCAATATCAAGTTATTGATGGCTTAACAGCTGGCTTATAAGAATGTCCTGAATCTTCGGCAACATTTCTTCTGTAGCGCTGATGCAAGCCAGCTCCAGCACACCAAAATCTCAGTTTGTTATGAGGACTGAATGATAACATAAATATAAATGGATTTTTATTTACTGTAAATTGTTCTGAAAATTTTTAGAAAATCATGGTTGATGACCATTATGTCTCTCATGGTTAGCTCACTCACTGAGCA